CACGAGCTCAGAGTAAGCCTCCTCCACGGCCGCCCTTCGAGCATCGACCTGCTCAAGCCTCTTCCTCAGATTGTAGACCCTGTCCGGTCGGCCTATCAACGCGTGTGCGCTGGTAGCCCAGCGCAGCTCAGTCCGCAGGCAACGGATTAGCATCTTGGGCGAGGACATCACTACTAAATTCAAATTACGACGCGGCTCGAGCACAATTACAACAATAACAAATAAAAATACAAAAAAATTAACAGCTAACTAATGCAGTTCCTATCAAATCGAGTTGGATAGAATGTACACAAATAAGAACAGCTATTATTAAATGAAACACAAGTTAGTACAAAGGAAAAGGTAAATCAAATCAACAATAACAAATACTAGTACGATCAAATCAGGTTCATTTAAATTACGTAAATACAAATTACCACTCTTTAGTTCAAATACAATTTACAATACGAAAGATATGTAACGAAGATACACATCAATAAAAATGCCTTGCTCGGAAATCAACCCTTCGATAAGTAACACACTACCATCCGACAACGACAATTAACCGATTACGTAAAAATAACCATCTACCTACATGACGCAATCTCCCGCTTGCGCGCGAACCGGGTGTGACCTTTCAATTTTACCCGCTAACAGTAAAGCAAGCTAACAAAGGAAGGAATTTTATTATTACGTATAATAATAAAAAGGTATTTTACGTATTACGGACGGGCGTGATTGTAGCCACAAATCCACCCAACGCTCCTGCCACCAAATTATTTAATTTTTATCAAATACTATGGTCGGTGGATCGACCGGGAATCGATCCCAGAACCACGCTCTGCTACCAAATGTTACGGCCAACAGCTGCCCTGCCTCAACAGGAGTTGGATCCTTCGCGGCCCATAGACGAAGGAGCCACGGGCAGATGCAGGTCGGGCGTTCCTACGCCGAGGGTCAAAGGTTTCTAATGAACACACGAGGGGAAAGGTCACTAGAATAAATGCACTTACCTGCCCCAGGAGCGCAGACGGTTCTCCTCGACCGGCCCGGCTGATGAAAGTTGTGCTTGGTGTGTTGTGAGTGTAGGTGTAATTGTGTGTGCTGGTATGTTGACGGGAACCGATCTGGATGACTCGACGACGTCCGGGAGAAGGCACGCGCTGGTATCCCCGGAACTTCACCCTTCTGGAGGCACTCGTAGGGGGTTGTCACCAAATGGGACGGCTACTCTGGTAGTCCTTCAGATGTAAATCACTTTGATAGTTGCGCGCGAATTTCACCGAGTTAGTACGTTCTAATAACGATACCGTTATTGCAACGATTTACGCGGATTGTTCCTTTAGCAAGTTTAGGCGCGAAAAAATACGTCCGTATAGTTCGCAAGAAAAATCCTACTACCGCGCGAGAAGAGCCACGCCGACCCATCCGGCGGCCGAGGGGGCGGGGGAGAGGGAAGGTGCCCTTGATATCAAGGCCAAAAGCGCGCGTTAAATACTGCGTTTTTATTGCAAATTTTCCTGCCTAGACAACTTATTACATAATTTAGCAAATTGTGATACGTTATCCGTATGGAAAATGTCGACATCGCCGTTGGTGGTTAGTCGTTAAACGTTTGCATTAACCTATTTATTGGGGCTCGTTTACCTAAATTTGTTCTATGGTTAGATAAACAAAAGATTTTGGTAATCGGATGTCTTGGTATAGATCTTGGAACTCTGATAATTATTTGATTTAACAGTGCCGGTGATAGTAGGAGGCCGTGAATTAGCTTATAAAGTGTTTTAAGATCGCTAAGTCGACGTCTTTTTTCGAGAGACTCTAATTTGAAGTGGGATAGCCTAGTATTATAGTCAGCACGGTAAGGACAAGTTTGATCTTTAAAGGCTAAGTAGCGGGTAAAATTGCGCTGGATACGCTCTATTCGATCACTGTGAATTTGGTATGATGGGTTCCAAACAGGTGAAGCATATTCTAGTGTACTACAAATAAGAGCTTTGTATATAGTAAGAATAGATATAGGGTTCCGCAAATCCTTACATATTCGCTTTACGAATCCTGCCATCTTCCATGCCTTGGATGCAATATTATCAATATGGATGTTGAAATTTAATTTTTTATCGATCATTACGCCAAGGTCACGGACTACTTCGGATTCTGTTAATTTTTCTCCGTCTACAAAATAACTGGAGCGAATAATGTTTCTCTTTCTGGTAATTTTTATAGACAGACATTTCTTGGGATTTAGTAGCATTTTGTTACTTTTGCACCAATCTGAGATAGAGGTGAGATCTGTCTGTAATTTAACTACATCATCTGGAGACTCTATAACCTTATACAATTTTAAGTCATCTGCAAATATTGAGTAATTACTAAAGGTAATATGAGCAGAAATGTCATTTATAAATACCAAAAAGAGAACAGGGCCGATATGCGACCCCTGTGGAACGCCTGAAGTTGGATAAAACGAAAAAGACTTGAAACCCTGTGTTGTTACTCTTTGAATTCGATTAAATAAGTAGGATTTTATCCAATTCAACAGGTTTCCGTGAATACCATAATAATTTAATTTGGACAAAAGAATGGCGTGGTTAACTTTATCGAACGCGCTACTAAAATCGGTGTATATAGCATCAACCTCTTTATTTTTATCAACATATCTCGCCAAGTTCGAGGTGTATTCTAGTAGGTTACTAACTGTAGACTTATTTGTGCAAAAACCATGCTGACAATTAGAAATTACCTTTGATAAATGAGAAGACAAAATGGGGCAGAGTATTTTTTCTAAAAGTTTAGATATGAAGTATCACCCGGAGAGGACACCTGAGTCTCGGTTAAAAAGAGCAAGGCCGGCTTCGTCGTCTCAAGATGGTAATGGACAGCGTTAAGGTTGGAATGAAGTCCCCTGATGTTGCAAAAATTCACGGATAGCGTGACAGGGGTCGCCATGGTTGTATTGCTCCGCTTGCCCCGAGCAGCATTAGTCGCGAGCGGAATTTTGTGCTGGTACCCTCCTGGGGTAGTCTTTTATTTAACTCCACTACCATGTTGATGGAGGGGAGGGGGCGAATTGGGCCTCCGGCCACCTGCACTCACAAAGTGCAACGCAGAGGTAAACCTCTACTTCACGCTGGTATTCTGTGAGGTCGTGGTACCACCCCGGTTCGAGCTGGCCCATCCGTGCGACAGCAAAAGCTACCGCTTAGCTCTACCACTGTTAAAAAGTGTCTGCGCATTGTGAGCTATTAATCGAAACGGTGAAACAAGTGCTCTAATGGTGATATGATTCTCAAGATAAGGTGACTGTCTGCTTAGGCGCCTTGAGATACCATCGCCAAGTGTCAGCTGTCTGCTAGCTCAAGTTGCCGTCAAAATCTCCCAAGGGCTGCACAATGTGACGCATCAACATATTGTGAAAAAGTGTACTATGAAGGATAACTATATATTGTAACTTCAGGCTCAGAAGGGCTAGAACCCAGAGCCGTAAAGCCAGTTACCAAAGAAAGGCGCGCACGTACGCACACAGTTTCACCGTCATGCCTCGAAAAGTAAGTAAAGTCTGATGGACTTGCACCTGGTTTCCTGCATTCTGAATCTTAATTAAGAATAAATGTACATGTCTGGGCCAAAGCATCCACTTACAATTAGGTAGTGTGCTTGTTTGTCGCCCTTATTCTATAAAAAAAATATTACGCGGCAGTAAACCGCAGTAGTATTTTGTACCTCTGGTGGTAATCGTTTGCCGGTGAGAATAATTCTGCTACTGTTCCATATTTATTCTTGATAATAATATTTTTACCCCAAAAGAATAAGAATATATACGAAAAATCGAATAACACTACTCTAGGTGGTACCCTCTTACCTATTTATGCCGCCAAATTGTAGTGCCTTCACTGCTATGTCACCGATATACCATAAACACCAAATGCAGTCTTTAAGTTTTTGCGTTGATATATGTATTTTTTTTGAATCAATTTCGAGCCATGTAGTGGAGGCGTGAGAGGATCCACAACCCGTGAAAATTATGAGATGCTGTGGATGTTGTGAGAGGTGACAGAGGGAAACTGAAACAGGAGATATGCAGTAGCACCTTCCTGATAACAACACAATAAAAAAAATTGTGGTTGACAAATTGCCTTCCAAGTGTGGTAACTATTGAAAATATTCTCCTTATGAGGCAATCGATGGGGGAGGATTGTTTTTTTAATAGGATAGGGTGACAAACGAGCACACACTTCACCTGATGGTAAATTGTTGCTGTGGTCTATAGACATCTACATCTATCCTCCATTACGAATCAAAATGTAGATGCGTTGTCACCCATGGGGACTAAGATGGAATGCTTCTTTTCCAGTAAAAAGGGTCTCTGATTCTCTATACTCACCATACGAAACAGCGTCGTTATGCTGCTATTTTACGCTGATATTCTGTGAGAGTGTGGTCATTCCTCGGTCGAGCCGGCTCATTCGTGCTACAACTAGACCAGTAACATAGCTGCAGCGTGGTTCTACCACGTATAAAATATACTACGTATATTATGTTCATCAGTAGACTTGTGAAGGGCTGTGATGAATAAATGAATGGAAACAAGTAGTAAAATTAAAAATTTTGTACAACAGACTTCTATATATTAACTTTGACAGAAATGATGGTGTACCGTGGTATACTGAACATATCTGCGTACCTCTTTAGAGGGTACTGGCATGATGCTATGTATGTGTGATTGCGTAAACAATGCATAGATATGCGATAGCAACAATCGCAGTGGATTTGCTGGCATTTATTAAACAGTTCCGTTCTCTGTTCTCAATCTGAATCATGAAACTCATCATGTTATCTTTACAAAATTTAAATGGGACCATTTCGGGATAAACCGTTTTCGAAAAGAAAATGTTTTTTTAAATCTTTGCAAATCCTATATGTGCAATATGTGACAGAGTTATGCCCGAACATACATTAAAAAGTATATCCGAATCCAGATCCTCCTCCTTTTTTAAAATCGGTTAAAATATCAATTGCAGGTGGCGAACATCCCGTTGCGCTGCGTGTGGGAAGTGACGATGCGCTTAGAGTTGGTGATTGAAGACGCTCGCCAGGCGGCGTGGCCGCGCGCCGGACACGTGCACGTGCGTGACGTCACACACGGGCATGACGTCACGAAGGTGAAGGAAGACGTGGAACGCCTGCTCGCACGGGTGCCGCACGACTGGGGGCACGTGCCGAAAACTATATGGTTAGTTGAATACTTGAACACGCCCATAATGAACCGCGAGGTCTGCATTGTATGCACGTATACATTTTGCGGTATGCGTGCAACTCAAGTTCTATCTTCGCCTATACTACTGAAATGCAATTTTAAATTGTTTAAATAGAAAATATTGGAAGATAACCTGTACATCTTTTGATTTTTCTTACTTTTCAGCTGTTAATTTCTTTTTTCACTTTACAATATAAGGGATACAGAAAAGGAAACGGCCTATTAACAAAAACAATAATTCATTTTTTAAGTATATTATTTAAATTTTTATGCACAATAAATAGTACATAATATGGCGAACTTCGTTCCAATAATCGTAAATAATGACTAATTAATTACAGTGCCTCGTACGGTAGTCTGTGTTCAACAACGAACTTCTGTAGGCTGTAAAGGATGAATTCATGGAAGATAGTTATAATGCCATATGTCGGACACTTTAATATTTTTTTACATTTCCTATGAGGCGAAATCGATTCCCTTACCTTATTACACGGCACGTTTTGCGTAACAGATAGCTTATATTTTTTTAACTATTCTGATATTTACCACGTGCTCGGCGGTGAAGGAAATCATCGTGAGGAAACATGCATGTCTGAGAGATAACAAAAGATATTTCGAAGACATTTGTGAAGTCCGCCAACACGCATTGTGGCAGCGCGGCGGACATTTCCTCGCCCTAAAACCCTCTCAGAAGTGAGAGGAGGCCTGTGCCCAAGTGGTACGTCTACGTATATAGGTGGTAACTAACTTTAACTTTATCCTAAGCCAGTGCTAACTACTATCCTACCTGATGGTAAGTGGTGATACAGCCTAATATGGTAAAGCGCACAGACATATATAATAACTTCCTCGTGGTCTAAAATTGACCAGGTAGATAATTATGGTACAAGTTTGCCTGTCTTAATTAACCATGACTACTTTAAATTGTAATTTATTTATTTCGATCCGCTCTTTGCAGAAGGAACTTATAGTATCTTGAATCTTGCTTAAGATAGTACCTATGATTGGGTTGGGGTTTAATATTATTAATTATAGGATCCTAAACAGACGATAGCACTCAGTAATGTTTTGCCTTTGGTAGTAATCCGTGTTCTTTCGTGAGGATTTGTGGTTTATCAAATCTGAGTTTAAAATATATTTTCACTGTACGTTATAAATGAAAATTATATTTAAAAAAGCAGTGGTGCCAGCCCCTGAAATGGCAAATGGTTTTCTTGTAAAATATTGAACACACCCAAACTTTTACGGCTCCATTGCTTGTATTTAAACCTAAGACAGTATGACTACTATAGTTATTTATAATGGTATTTTTTCATTACAGGAAAGTTTTCAGGTACCTGAAGAACAAGACGGAAGACAACGAACTGCTTGGAATTTAGCATTAGTCGAATACAACACTTATGTTTGGTTTGAACAAACATTGCATTAAGAAGATTTAATTTATAAGGATGTTTTCTCAACAATGGAAATGCTGGCTACTTTTTAAATATTGCATCTATAAAACGCAGGGACGCAATTTGTTGAAGTTGTTACTTTATTTAATAATAATGTTTGATAAAATTTTTATGTACCAGACAGAAATGAGATGAAAGAGAGTGAAACAATAAAAAGTAATAAAAGATATGTTATAAAGGTGTTAATTTAATTTTTCACATTATTTAAGAACAGGTTCTTAAACATTACTTTTTGTTATTACAAATAACTTTTGTGTTTTTCGCGCCATAACGCCATTTTCCATCAACAAAACGTCTCGCTGAAGACAGCTCCACAACCGGTCGCGTGCTCAAGGCATTGCCTAGTTCCCGGATTGTTTCGTATACCTTAGATGGCCGGATTATCTACAAAATAACGGAAACAAAGTTTAATAATATTATATTGTAATTTTATTTGACCATGTGGTGGGTGGTGATGTACCTAGTAGTGTCGTATTTTCACTACAAACTGGACACTAGAAACTAAACAGAAGAGGGCGGCACCGTCATCTCAAGAACAAGGTTGTCAACCCGTCTGTTTTTTTTTTTGCGCCCAGAAGCAATTGGAAAATGGGCTATCCCGATACGCAGGGAGGCGATAAATGCTTTATGCATACCACGACAGCCGGTCTGTCGTGGTTATGTGGGACTCACTGTACCTAACCTAAAGTGGAGCCTAGGTGCTTCCCACTAAAAACCGCCTGTGGGACTGACAATTGGCCGATTAATCCGCTTCGTCGGATCGGAAGCGACCCTCTTTTGGGAGAAGCGGGCGCAGGCGGCTACAAAGAGCCGCTGAGGAAGAGGCTACTTAGGCAAATTTAAGAAGAATCGGCCTGAGCCGCCAGGAGGCAGTTCAGGTCGGTTGAAATTTTATTTGGCGGGCGCCTGCCGAGCGCGGCAACAATATACGATAGGTATAGCAAAATAAGATCCTCCAGTTATTCAACAGTTATTCTTTTGCTGTCGTCTGGTAACAACATTGAGATATAATGTACTACGTACTAGAGGAGATGCCTCAACTCGATTGTTTGTAACACGCGTTAGAGTGCGCGCTCTCAAACTCAGTCTGTGTCAAGTGGTTGCTGCTACGTGAGAAGTTTAAGTGAAGAATTATTTTTAAATTAATATGCCTACGTGTGCATTGCGATATTGTTCAAACTACTCAAGAAATATAAGTAAAAGTCAAGGAATAACTTTTCACCAGTAAGTTTAACTTATTATTATCTTTAAAACACACTTAATTTAATTATATTTTATCAACTGCAACGTATACGGGAATGTCAAAGAGTAAAACATTTTTATGCGCAGACTTAACACTATCGAAGTATAATGTTAAGTAATTATGGACCGTAAATATTAATATATAATCACGGTAGGAAATGTTAATGCAATAAAATTAATAGTTTTTATTATTATTTGGATTTAAAGGTTTGCTGAATCAAAGAGAAAGAGAATCATGGATTAATGTATAAGAAAAGAGCGCCATTATCGCCAACAAACTGTTGCACAGTTTGGCGATGTTTATTATTATTTTAAATGCGTGTATTTTATATGAATAAATAAATTTAAAAAAAAAGGTCAAATTTGTTCAGAAGAAACGTGGTTACCGTAAGATTATTCACGCATATGTTTCGTACATTTCAAAGAAAACTAATACTTCTCTAAAACAGGAAGTAGAAAGTACACTTAAAGAAACCTGCAGTACCATGCGATAACGTAATTATACATATAATATTGGTGGGATTTTTGTTTTATTTTGTGATTAGATTACGAACGAATGTTTGTAATGTGTAAACTCGGTATATTTATGGGACTTAAGAGAGGCGGTACTCTCGGCGCGCGAGTCATACTAGTTTATGGCGGGTTTTTAATACACTAGAATTTTTACAGGCTTCCCAAATTACTAGTATCTTTTTTTTCAGCTAAGAAAATGTGGTGAACAAGAAGTATTAGAACCGTTGTCTGAATCAGTAAGCAGTTTAAATTAAATTTTTGATAGTCCGACAAAAATTGTACTCAAAAATAAATTACGAAAGCTGTAGCTAGAAAGAAAATTAATAATAAATTTAAGAAAATACAAAGACAAAATATTTATTTACTGATAAATGTGATATTTACGAATATAAAAATAAATAATATAATATAATATAAATGTACATATTTACCTTTTAAAATATTCAATAAAATATCATTAAAATATAAATCTGACATAATATTATGTAATATTATATTAAATTAGCACATTTGCAAAATAAATATAACAATAAAAGAATTTTACTAGATATAATTAACAATACAATATAAATAAACAATTATTACATACTGATCATTCTACCTACGTATACTTAATCTATGATGACAAAAATTGACCGCGCAGGCGCAACGCGCTTATATCCACTGCGCATGCGCGACTCTACTATCTGCCGCGCATGCGTGAAGACATAGAGTAGTGCACAATTTTTGTTTGGAATAGCTTCTCTAACTTCTCTAACCAAATAATTTCAGCGTGAGGAAGAAGCTTCACTTCCGCTTCTGCGTTTCGCGTGGTAAGTGCAGGTGAAAGGAGGTCCAAAACTAAAAATAGAACAAATCAACTGCAGAGGATTACATAATAGATATAAGTACCACGCCACACAATAATAAGAACGAATGTCGGTCACGGTGGCCGGTCTTTTTTTTTTTCTTAGTACCCGATTATATGCGCAAGCACAGGTGCACCGTGCACTCTCTATTCCATCGCTCTCATACTCTGAACGATAATCCGATACGACCGGAGAGAAATCGGACATACGACCAGGACCAAAGGCTTTACGTGATATAAGAGACACGGGGGTGAAACACCGCCAACTTTCTAACTGCAGGCTGTCAATTTTTTTACAGAAAAACGCAATAAATTGAATTCGCCCTGACCCGGGATTCGAACCTTGGACCTCATGTTAAGCAATCGCGTTTATGACCACTATACCTAGGAGACAGTCAACACAATAACCAGACAGTGCATAGATACGCTATGAGAGAAGCATTAATCCATCATGCTTTAATTTTTAGCAGACATTAAAAAGGAGGATCGATCGAGAGAAGTTAAATGACATAGCCCAACAGATCAATATAGGCCGGTCCTAGAAGGCGAATAACAGACAACCGATGAGAGGTTCTCAAGTGGCAGCCTCGTACCTGTCAAGCGGGACAATCTGTTGGAGGTCTATGTTTAGCTGTAGACTTATTAGTTAATGAATGATGGATATACTAAATAAGAATACTGTCATCATCAATAGGCCATCACATCACATCATAACATACGAATAATATGCCTCCGATTGCCGGGCCAGCGGCACTTATATTGTTCAGATATCAAAGTTATGATCTCAATGTGCTCTGCGATATATTGAAATGTCTCGTGAATAACAAATTTATTTTTTATACTTTTTGTCTCTTAATCTGGCTCTGCTCTGCACGGTATCTCTTTCAGAATTGGGAGCAGTTGCAGAGGTATTTTTAACTGATTTACTGAATTTAGTACCTACATTAAGTTTTGTATGAAAAATAAAAGTAATTTTTGTAATAATGTAAAAGTTACAGCCCATATATGACCCATTCCGAGGCACAGGCGTCCACATATCATTTCTGAGAGGGTTTAGGGCAGGAAGTGTTCACCACCAAGCTGCCCGAATGCGTGGAAACCTGCATGTCAGAGACATAAAAAAAAATCCAAGACGTGAAGTTCGCGAACACGCACTGGTGCAATTGTTAAATAGGTACTTAATTTTTGAAATATTTGATTTTTGATCTTTCTTTATCAATTCATTTAATTCCACTGCTGGATCTGGACATGAGTGACACCCGTTGGACACAGGGCCCTACTTGTCTGGATTTCTTAAGCCTGGAGTTAACGAGATGATTATACCGCCTTCGGTCGGAAACCTTATCAATTTATCAAATTCCATATTCCCCTCATTACAACATCAACGGAACAAAACGCGATGTTGGATTTTCTAAAGCAGACACCACACGACACTACCTTTTTACATTTCACAAAATCAACGTGCCAATATAGTCCGTAGATGCTCCATTGAATGAAATCATGCTATGATAGACTTAAATTTAAAACAATCAAACGAACATAGACGTATCCCGAATACCGTCTTGTCAGATTGCTCTCCCATCGGACTATGAAAGAGGGTATAGAGAGTGCACCTGTGTTTGCGCACACACCCGTGCACTATGATTCTATCCTGGGCTCACTGATTGCCATGACCGAATTTCGGTCTGGCGGACATACCACTTGATTTACTAATCTCAGAGGCTATGTTGCTTAATATTTTAGATGACTTAACTGAAGTTATCTATTATATACTATTGAGATGTAATAGTGAAAACTTACCCGTCCAAAAACAACATTCCGTAAGTCGAACTGCGGCAACGGCTTGAAAGTGATATTGAAAATGCCGCAAACTTCGTCGTCGCGGGTCACTCTCATTGATAGCAAACCTAACACACGCATTTTTCATTTGCATAAAACACAAGCATGAACACAAACACCTATTTTCTTATGCCACTATATATTAGGGGTATATATTGCGGCGCTGCGAAACTAAACACTATCAATCATTAAATTGGAAATAAATCCACTGTTTTATTTCGATTTTAAGGATTTAAAGGTTCAGTAGTAATATTTATAGATCATTTTATTTCAACCTTCTTCATTTGCTAATAAAGACCACGTGCTCGGCGGTGAAGGAAAACATCGTGAGGAATCTTGCATGAATCCGGCAACACTAATGCGCGACTGACACTACCTTTTCCTAAACCCCTCTCAGAAATAAATGGAGTCATGTATTTTTTTATAGAACAAGGGTGACAAACGAACATACAGTGTAATGTATGTTCGTTTGTCAGGTGGACCTGATGGTAAGTGGGTGCTGTGGTCCATAGACATTTTGTATCCATGTGTGGGACGTACATAGTTTGCAACATTAACTTTCTTAATTATTAGCTGAAGGCTAATTCAGGCGTTTATATATTATACGTCTGGATAGTTATACCTCGTAGGTCACTCCAGCTCCAATCTTCAAACCGGATCGCAGTGCATGCACTTACGCTCGGCGGTAGAAATAAGTAAGACAATCTAAGGTCGAATCAAATATTGATGATTGCAATTACATTTTTTGAACGTTCCGGATCAAACGATTGACAGGATCAAAGAGTATAGTAATGTCCGACGAACGACATTCTCGAGCGGGTCTCGTTGATCACATAGTGCTGGAACTCTAAACGATCCATTTGTATTATCGACCCGAATGTCCAGGTTCGTAAGACGAATCAATGCTTGAATGATCGGGTCACTAGAAATAAATGAACGACGCATGTCTAAGATGAACTTATAGTCAGAAAAGGAATCCTACCATCCAGTAGGAGTTTCAGCACCTAGTGGTACTAATAAGTAAGGAAACCGAAACAGTAATTGAGGAGCGGTATTTTCTATTAACAACTTAAAATTAAAATAAAACTGCGGTTGCCTGCCAGCCTGCCAAGCATGACAACTATAGCTAAATTCCTCGAGGCAATCTATCCGGGAGGTTTATCTTCAAAAGTTGATGTTTATATAGGCTGTAATGAATGGAAGCAGCTGGCGGCGCAAAATAATACATCACAACATTTCGTCCCGTGAGTGTCGTTTAATACCAAAAAAAAAATAGCTTCTGTTAGAAGTACCTAGTATAGCCACCGTGTTTACGTCAGACATATAAACGAGCAAGGTTAATGCTGTATAAATTTAAAAAATTACTAATTATACCCAATATACGATTATATAAGAACAATATCACAGCTTTATTATAATTTTTCAAAAATTAAGCCAGAATGGTCGCTGACCAACTTTAAATCGTTAGATATCCTAAATGGTCATTCTAAATGAAAAATGACTAGAGAAACCTAAATATGATTTTCAAAGACCTATAATCAATGACTCCCCACTTGACATAGTTCGTCGACTTTCTTTTTTTTTTTTCGGCGTCAGGTTGTCGTACACAAGATTATGAGAAATCGATTGCCGTAAGAACCATAAAAATCGGCTAACGTGTTTTACCTCCAGAACGCTATATGTGACTAGTTTGCCTTAAGGATAACCCGGTACTGGAAAAGGTACAGCTTTAGACTTTTACGGGCTGACGAAGAACAAGAAATGTTTACAAGATACAGAAATGCTGTTCGTTGTCTAACCTGGCATCGAATGAGGAAAATGGTAGTTCTCGGCTCCAATGGGTACGGTACACCCGCGCTGCGCATAACATCCGAAACCGTTGTCGTGAATCACATCCCCTCCACTCCAGAACAGTTCCGGTACTTTTCTATAAAAATTACTAAGGGATATATGCGTGATAAAGCCATGTTACAGGTATATTATAATTGTAGCACGAATGGGTCGGCACGACCGTGGAAGAACCACGCTGTCACAGAATACCAGTGTAAAATAGCAACTTAATGCTATTATAAGTGTAGAGAAACGGAGACCCCTTTTACTGGAAACGAGGCATTCCATATTAGTCCTCAGGGGTGACAACGCATCTGCGTTTTGATTCTTTTTTCACTATAGGTGTAGATATATGGGCCGCAGCATCCACTTACCATCAGGGGGACTGTGTGCTCGTTTGTCACCCTAACTATTAAGTAATCTGTGCCCTAATTCTATAAAAAAATCTCATTAATGAATGAACTTATATAGGACTAGGTATAAAACATCAGCATACACGTGTGTATGCTAGTGTTGGTACTAAAGTCTAAAATGCCGCTTTCTGTTACCGTGCAAGATCTTATAAAAGTGTGCGCTTGATACCAAATTCTATTTCTGCACTCTTATAGCCTATATATCTTCCTTCCAATTAGAGATATAATTATAGCGTTTAAGGCATGGCGCACACACATACACATACACACAACATGAGAATTTTAGAGGTACTAAGTTGTATTTGAGAATCGTAGAAGCTTTGGTCTAAATCTATACAAATAAATAAAATTGAAATGTTTGTTTGTAATGTCAAAATTACAGCTTTTTACTAAATGCATATACAACCAGTGCGTGTTGCCAGTGATGACTTATGGAACTGAGACGTGGTCCTTCACTGCTGGCCGTATGAGGAAGCTCAAGGTCGCTCAGCGAGCTATGGAGAGGGCTATGCTCGGAGTTTCTCTGCGTGATAAACTTAGGAATGAGGATATCCGCAGTAGAACCAGAGTAACCGACATAGCCAAACGGATTAGTAAGCTGAAGTGGCAGTGGGCCGGCCATATAGCTCGAAGAACCGACAACCGATGGGGAAGAAAGGTTCTCGAGTGGCAGCCTCGTACCGGTAGGCGAAGTGTAGGGCGTCCCCCCACGAGATGGAGTGACGACCTGGTAAGACATGCAGGAAGTCGATGGATGCAGGTGGCTCAGGACCGTGCTTTGTGGCATTCTTTGGGGGAGGCCTATGTTCAGCAGTGGACTTGTGAAGGGCTGTAATGATAATGATGACTAAATGCATATGAAAGTATATACGGTACTAATAACAAAAACACAATTTTTAAAGTTTTTGTCTATCTGTCTGTCTGTCTGTCCGTCTGTCTGTCTCTTTGTTCCGGCTAATCTCTGAAACGGCTGGACCAATTTGGACGGGATTTGTACTGGAAGATAGCTGATGTCACAAGGAGTAACTTAGGCTACTTTCTTTCAGAAACAGAATTATGGTTTATATTAAAACCCCAAATAACACGCAGGCGAAGTCGCGGTGAACAGCTAGTCTCTAAATAATTTAGTGTTGACATATTCATATGGTTATTTACTAGCTGGTTTGGCAGACTTTGTCCTTTCCGATGAATTTGTATTCTAATTTTGCTATTGTGTACTATTTTTTTGGCAATTAACCAACGTGTCAGTTAATGAATATGAATCATTTTGGTCCATAAATAATTTTCTTAAAAAAATGACTACAGCGCTACCTACAGAATCTTAACATATATATGAACATCAATTTTTTCTCTAATTTCACAAAAAAAACGTAACTAAGATCACTCCTGACATTGCTCTCTGTCTGTCCGTAAAGTTTGATTAAAATCCGTTTAGCTATTCGTAAGATTCGCCCGGACAGTGAAACACAGACAGACAGATATTTTTTTAAATGGTTTGCATGTCTTAATTTTTGGTTTGTATGTCGTGAACCACCCCTAAAACAAGCATTTTAAATTTACCAGTACTAGTTACAGGCAATACTAGTATTTCAAAAAAATGTCTTAATATACAAATAATACCAACAGCTCAATAAATGGCAGTTATTTCGATATTACAATCAGTCACTTCAAATTTATGTTGTATATTTATCGAAGATAAATGCGCTCTTTGACGAACCAAAGTAGGCCTTATTTTTTTTTATTGGTTGATATTATTTTTATGGCCAGTAGTACCGCTCTCTCTTCTGTGTATAAACAAAGAATTAAAACAAAGAAGAAAGTTACAGCCAATACTCGTTTACGCCTCACTGCATAGGCCTTCTCCACACAGAATAAATAATAGCATTTTATTCTTTTGACCTGTAGCTTTCGTCGATGTTTTCTCATTCAGAGCCAAGCACGTGATAAATAAGCAATTATAATTGCAATCAACAAATACATTGTTAATTAATGGAATCAGGCGTTACTTTGATTGATGTGATTATTTCATTTCATTAGCGGACAGCCACCGCAGAGTCGACTACACCTGAGGATGCCTCGTGTAGAGGCGAAACACGTGTATCATCGTCGGTGGTGTATCTTTCCTAGTGTAGTGGTGTTAGGAGTAGTGGTGCTGGAATTAGTGGTGACGGGGATTGTGCACGCAATGGAGGGTGCTCTTCAAACTAGGTAAGACACATCATTTTATTTTATTGAGCGGAAGTAAATTTTTCCAAATTTAAATACATCATTGCCGACGGGGATCAAACCCGGATTTCTTGAGTACTGTAATATTTACGACAAGCCCTACTTAAAATACATACAGTAAATTACAGATAAACGTTTAAATTGTCTTAATAAAATATGTTAGCTTTTGAAATTATTTATTTGTAAAGAGGTTATCAAAAACATTTCAATTACCCTCAACGTCTTTGTCTAGAAGTCGATGGCGATGAACTTTGTTGCCTCCTCTCCTCTGAAAATTGGTTCACGGCGAGGCAATATTTCTCCGAGTGGTACGTACGAGAAATCTGCGAGAGAAGTGGACTACCGTGCGGCGAATGTAGCCATAATGCAGCGCTACCAGTTTGACCAACCATCGCTATGAATGCAATAAGCATTCTCGTGTTGAGTAAGCCCCTTTGAATCTGCGGTTGTTTCAACAAAGTCTGCAAAATTACACCGTCGGGAAGTCCATTCACTAGCTCAAAGATACTCGAGCCCCGCTCTCCAATCAACCACGAAGCCGCTGCCGGTACATTACACCCAGTACAGCGTAGCGCTTCGTCTGCTTGTTCTGACGTAAACCCTAAATCGTTTAAAGCTACAATCGCTTCTGGGTTAGGTGGTTCGGCGATTTTTAACTTCCACGCGTGGAATTTCTGGAGAAATTTTTGCAGGTGAGCGGCACGTTTGAAGATATCTCCATTTGATTCGATCGTTGGTGCTGTATTGGCATCGTTTTGGTTCGTATTTAACCTTGCGGCTATTTCTTCGGGCGTTATCACTTGTGTATCGTGTTCTTGCGTTCTCTTTGGTTCATCTAAAGCCGCAGACAATTGAGCGAGGGTCACCTCGTAGTTTCTGCCAGCTGCTGCGAGCCTAGCTCCTGCTTCAATAAGCGATATCAAGATTTTTCGCAATTCGTACGTCAGTTCATTAGTAGATAGCAATGATTGGAGGTTAGGTTGCCTAACTGATGCCTGGGGAGGAGGCAGAGAAGCGGTGGCAGCAGCTATGGCGCTTTGTTGCGGCGCCCTCACCGCTCCTAAATCCCACAACGCCCCGGCATCGGGGATTCTTCTTTCAATTAACAAGATCTCTTCCTGCATTCCGATTTGTTCCTGAGCAAGAGTTAGGAAATCATGTAGGGTTGACGTATCAAAAACTCGAATAAGCTTATAACGGCTCCCTCCATTTGCTCCATTTGGGTAGAAGAAATCTATGGCACGATTTTTCACGTCCTCAATTAGAGTTTCATCGGTAAAGGAGGCATTGAAAGTTTGCCCCTCCGGGCTTATTATCTTCAGCAATATCTCACCACCGGCGATGGTGGCTTCGGAAACTAGCATTTTTAATCTGGTTTTACGTCAATAATTCCCGTGATCATCAATAAAAGAAACAAAAGTATACTAGTAAAAAATGCTGTGAGACACCATATAAGTTTGACCATTATTGGACGTCATCTTTATGCGTGTCATTAAAATGACAAAATCTGTCAAATTTAGTAAAACATTTTGGAAATTTGATTAAAGTATTTATTAGTAAGTAAAAAGGTTTTATTGTGCAAAGGCGCAAGGTTATGAACATTGTTGCAAAAATTGGTTTAGTTAGTGTGTAAAGTTCAACTGTTACTTAGAAATTTTATGTGTGTGTAACAGAATTTAAACCAAAACCTACTGTATAGTATATACACAACGATACATCAAAATCCTGCATGTTTTACCTAGTCGTTCAGCCTCCACTTAGTGGGGGTTCACCTCGCTCCGCTTACCTTAAGGCTGCTACTTGGGCACCTTTCTTTTCCATGGGTGGTCGGTTCTTCGAACTATGGCCGGCCCATTGCGCATTTTTTATTGTGATATATTGGACGATGTCGGTAACTCTGGTTCTGCTCCGGTTATATCTTCGACACGTATTCTGTTAAGTACACAAAGTAACTCCGAGCACAGCCTTCTCCATGTCATGTAGAACGACTTTAAAAGTTTTCTCAAGCATCCAAAAGTAAAGGACCATGTCTCGGTTCCATAGATCATCGCTGGCAACACGCACTGGTTATGCACTTTATTTCAGATTTTGAGCTTTTTGAGTTCGATTCGTCCAACTTCTACCAAGTGGTCACACTTGGTAGAAGTTGGACGAATCGAACTCAAAAAGCCTTGCCTAGTAGGATAATTTCTGTGCCTCTCGTGAAAATGCCTTTAATTGTAAAATTTTACAGGAGGACGCCCAAGTTCGTTAAAATTTAAATAAAGAGCTTTTAAATAAAAAAGGTTTAAATAAAAAAGAAGTTTTAGAAAAAAAGAGTTTAAATAAAAAATCCAAATCGGTTCACCCAGTAAAAAGTTATGAGGTAACATATTTAAAAAATACATACAGCCGAGTATTGAGTACCGTCTTCTTTTTGGAAGTCGGCAGAAAAGGGACAAACATATACATCTACGGGATTAATCCTGCGACAGAATAAGATAGAATACAGAATAGTGTTTATTATTTTAATTAAGTACTAGTATTCAAATTTTAATTAAGTACTTAGTGTTTAAGTTTAGTGATAACGACTAACGAGGCATTCCATCTTAGTCCTTACGGTTGACAACGCATCTGCATTTTGATTCGTAATCGAGGATAGATGTGGATATCTATGGACCACAGCAACCATTTACCATCAGGTGGACTGTGTGCTCGTTTGTTACCCTTATCCTATAAAAAAATCTGCATTCGTCTCATTCTCACGAAATTTAGTTTTCACTTGTACCGCGTGTGGACTACAATACATCATGTTTTTTTTTTTATAGAATAATGGTGGCAAGTGAGAACACATTTAACCTGATGCCTATGTGGGTTAATATTCTTCACCTCGCAAGATTTCGCTAGTGGCGATATTGGTGAACATTTTATTAAGAAGTAAGTTTTAAATAAATATTTATCAGTGTTTATAGTATTATATTAATAAACAGGTACATAAAACAATGTCTCAGGGTTTTTTTTTTGGTTTTATTCTCAGGGGTTTTTTACACATTTTAACTCCTTTTTTTAATTTTTTACTTTTAATTTAATTTGGTAATATAAAATGTATTATAGAAAGGAACATTATCCCTTAGATTTGCCTAACAAATTAATATCACTGCTTTGAACACTGACAAATATTTTACTTCTTTCGAAAGTGGCGCCACCATGAAAGCGCACAAAAAGTGAAAGCCGTCATAAAATGCTCCCGTAGACATAAATATATTATACATCTATTCTTGATTACGAATCAAAATTCAGATACGTTGTCACACCAGAGGACTAAGATGGAATGCCTCATTATTAGTAAAAAGGGTCTCCTATGTTCTATACTCAAACCCAAACGAAACAGATCGTTATTCTACTGTTTTAGTCCAGTATTCTGTGAAAGCCATCTTTTTTATTAGTGATCGATGGTGAAAGCGTTGCGCTAACGCGGTCGAGCTGACACATTCGTGCTATAATCAAGCGCCAGCGTGGCTCTGTCACGTCACTACCACTACCATCTTTAACAGGGGCATATCCGGAATAAAACTGAAACATCTTCAGAATAAACTTCTGAATATTCCGAAGATGACACTGTTGTCGAAAATCGTTAAGTAAGACATTAATATCACCTGAAGAAACAAGTTCCAACATATCCGTAACCGAACTCATCGCCGTCCAAAAGATCGAGAAATAGGCGGCAGGTCACAGGACAGATGTCTTCAAACAGCTCGGCCTTCAGTTCGCCGATTGATGCTCCTCCACGAAAACGGAGGGTAAAATAAACTCTAATAATAAAAAAGTTAAAATGTATTTGGCATAGAGGAACAAAAGAGCCATTTCAGTAATATTTTGATTCGACAGCTACCACCTGCAACCATCATCATTATCATTACAGCCCTTTACGAGTCCACAGCTGAACGTAGGTCTCCCCGAAGTATTGGCACCTAAGCCACCTGCATCCATCGACTTCCTAAATTTTTATCATGTCATCACTCCATCTAGTGGGAGCCCCCCACACTTCGCTTAGCGATACGATTGTCAATTGGCCATCGGTTGTCGGTACTTCGAGTTGTATGGCTGGCCCATTGTCACCTGTGACCATACCATAAATAATCATAATATTTAATGTTTAATATAATAACGAAAGGAACATTTACCCATGAACATTTAGAGATACCACATACAAAAATATATAATTTCGAGATCCTCCTGTGGGATGGTGATTGCTGAAAGGTCTTTGAACCACTTCTATAAGTTTTTTGTGTTTATATTCCTCTTGGTTTGAATATTATTGAATATTTTGGACTATAGCTTCATCGATCATCGCTTTCGGGCAGTGAAACTTGCTGAACCTACGTCGCCCCCAAAGGTGGCCTTAACATGCGATCCTGAGCCACCCGCATCCCTTGACTACCTGAATGTTTCATAATGTCCTCACTCCATCTATTAGGGGGTCGCGATTGCCGTACAAAACTGCCACTCGAGATAGGTTCTCGAGTGGCAGCTTTATGACACTGATATCAAACAACTCGGGGATTAACTGTCTACTTAATATAGAGTTTATATAACCTACCTTGGTCGCTTAACTTGAGGTGGTTTTATAAAGATAGCATCCTCTATTATTTCTTTAGGCTCTGGAGGAAAGAGCACGAACTTATTTTTCGCTTTCATAAGTATTTCGCGGCGGTTGTGTGCCCAATCACGTTGCAGCATCGAAGTAGGTGATACTTGAGGGCTCTATAACAGTCAAGAAAGATCGAAATCGAACAGAACAAACATAATAAATGTCCGTTGTATTATATTTAAATTTTTTAAGTTGAACGTTATTAAAAAATCAAGCCATGATGTCCCCCAGACCGATTTTCGGTCACGGCGGTCAGTCTCAACGGACATTGACCTGCGCTGGACAAGATTTTAGTGCCCGTGTGTATGCGCAAGCACAGGTACACTCTCTATTCCCTCACTCTGATAGTCTGATGGGACAGAAATGACCGGAGAGAGATCAGGCGCTGGACCAACGGTTTTACGTGCTTCTAAAGCACGGGGGTGAAGCACAGTTTACAGTAAAAAGAGTACTCGGTAAAACGTAACGGTAACAGTATGACCTATCACCGATGAGAATCGGCACATATTTCTAATTTTTAATGGAGACTTTTATGGTATCCACTTTGTTTTAACTCACCACTAGATGGTGCTGATGCAAATCAACTTCTATATCGTTCAATCAATTGCCATGAAAATTGGTATAAACTTGCAGGACTACGTTTGCGGGGTTTCTACTATTAGCTGGCAGAGAATGCCTTTTCGGCATTAAGTTCGCTTTTGATTTTTATCTATCTATCTATCTTATAATATTTATTGAAACGAAGTTCCATATCGGACGGTACGGATTTGGAGGATGGGGGATAGGCGACAAAAAGTGTAAGATTTTTCCGTCACTGACGTAGTGTAGACGGCTTTGGCGGCTACGAGGAAGCAATATGGAATAAAATCCATCTCCCTCGCACTTTTTCTTATCTTGCCATAAAAGAAATATTATTTTAAATGACGCTTCTTTTAATAGACGTTTGTAAATCATTTATTTGTATTTGTTAATCAATAATATAATAAGTTTATCAATAATAATATACTACGAAAGGAACTTCGTTCCAACCGAGTGTTCCGCGACTCTCACGCATGTTTTTTTTATTTTTATTCTTATGTTATTTTCATGTTTATTTTTATTTACTCTCCGAAATAAAAAAAAACTACCTGTTGTTTCAATAGCAAAATTATAAATCTATTTCTATTTATCGTTTAAACGAAAATTTTACTTACGGCTTTGAGAATACGCTTATAGATCGCCTTGTTTTCCCTTTGCACTTCTTTCAAGAAGAGCGCCCGGTTCTCGTAATACACTTTGTTTGCTGGGAGACGTTCCCTCCAACGGCTGTCTACCTTACCCTAGCAGAATTGTATTTAATAATCAATTAACAAACATTACGAAGTTCCGGTGAAGCAATATCCGAAGGAATCTCTACAATGGCAGAGAGTCATGGACAACTGTGAACGTTAACTAATGGTTATCTAATAGTTACCGTTACAGTCTACTAAAGTCCACTGCTGAATTCAGGCTTTGCCCGTAGATTCTATGGGGAATCATAGAGTCTCACCCTCCTAGGGAGATATTTGCCATAGTTGCCACACTTCGAAAGGAACTTAGTTCCAACCGAGTGTTCCGCGACACTCACGTATGTTTTTATTTTTAGTTGTTACTAACTGTTCCCCGCGACATCGCTCGCGTGTTAGACTTTATGTTTCTGCGCGGAACCCTAATTATTTTTCTAAAAATAAAAGTACCTTAAGTTATTCCTTATAAAATCAGCTACCTGCAAGTGAAAGTCCGGTCAAAATCGGTCAAGCCGTTTCGGAGATTAGGGCCAAAATACTTTTTGATGCCTAAAAACCGGTCCCTTCAGGTGAATTTCACTTTTTATGGGAAAACAGTACTAAAACAAACTGTAAGTTCATCAATTCATAAATTTAACACTAATTCTATACTTAACAAAATAAGTTATAATCAAAATTTATATTATTTATTTGCAAATTACGGCAACAACGTTGTCTTTCTTAGTAATGCAGTTGTTCTTCATACAAATTATTACTGTCTTTGAGCACCAGTCTCATGATGTAAAGAGCAATCTCTCATAATATCTTCTAGATGGCATTTTTTCTGAATGTCTTTATCAAAAATATACGCTTTGGACCTTATTACAATTATAATAGATATTTTTTACCTAAAACGTGTAATAAAATAAAAAATACTTTGCACTGTGTCCCCAACGATAAATAAAATCTTAGCTACCTTGCGTGGCTATATGAAAACAAACCTTAAAGTAAGTGTATTAAAATTTAATGTACTATATTTTGTTCGACTTGTTGTAACTCTTAAAATAAAAGATAGCCGCTGCGCGGGGCGAGCACGCTAACCGAATCAATCGCTTCACAGTTGTTGGGAGAGGTGCGTGTGTTTATTGCGTGGCCGCTGAGTTACCGCCGTCGAATAGTAAGTACTGACGATATTTGCATTATTACTAAACTCAAACATAATTAATTAGGTATCGGTTATGACAGTAACTAAATGTCTGCATTTTGTTTTTCCATTAAGTGCACATTAACGATGTAATCAAATATTTACAACTACGTTACTGCTACACTTCGATACCGTAAAAAGTAACGCAGTTGTTTTAAGTGTATTATTTAGGCTAGTTATATATTGTTATAACCAAAATACCCATAATTAACTTCTTTTTATTTCAGGAAGTAACTTTTACACTAAATGGCTTTGACACACGCTGAAAAGTAACGTCGCATAGGCTTAGGTTAAAGCAGGAGCTCATAAAAATGTTGAAGCCAAAAGAAAACAGCTTGAGAGGTACCACACGAAAAAACACTAGTAAAAGATATAACAGAGCGAGAACATAGAGCTGCCAAGCGTAAATGAAAGCCTGCGGATAAGAAACGATGAGAACGTCAAAAAGTTGCTCAACAAATTACGGACGTAATGTCCGGCTTTCACCCCGCGTTCGGGAACTCTAGTTTGACCTAGGTCTAGAGGTTGAAGACAAATACGACGAGACAAATCTGCATTATAAAGAAAAAAAAACTAAAATTCCAGGAATGCCTGGAAGAACTGACAAGAAAGTGTAGTAAATACAAAAAAAAAGATACCAAAGAGCTAAAAAGTCAAGCAATGGTACTCAACATAAGAAATATTCTACCTTATCCAATGCCATCAAATATCATTACAAGAGCTTAAAGACAGTAAAAGAAAAGGTAGCCTTGAAACGAATTTTTTGAAGGAAAATTCATTTCAAACTCTAAAATGAAGACTGATATTGTGCGTGAGGCTTTGGGCATTGATCAGGTGAAACAAAAACAGACAGTAGTTGATTTTGCCAAAGAGGGTATTGCACTTGCATGATTCAAAAAACATATCAACCAGTTGCTGTTCCCGTCATTGACACAATCAGAAAGACCAATTATTCTGATAGATTGAACGACGAAGAAACCCTGTCTAACATATTTAATATTGTTGCCGTATCTAAAAGAACTTACTTTAATACGGTTTATTCCTCAGCTTTCAGCTCTGACAACGAGCTTATTGCTAACTTTGCCTAGCCATCAGTTTCTAACATAAAATAAAGGCAGCTAATTAAAAAGGATAATGTTAATCAATTAAAAATATCAGACGGAGTTCATGTTTTAGTAAAAGTTTCCAATGTTAAAAACAGACATTATGCTTACCTAGGTGTCGCTAAAAGTGATGTAGATGAAGAGGGAGAAGTCAAGATTATGTTTTATACGACTGTAGATAGTACTGGCAAAAAACTGATAGTTCTTACGACCCTACGATAATATGTTGAAAATTGTTCCTAACCCAAAAATTACACTGGATAGTAAACGGGTACTATGATTTTGATAAAACACTGAACGTTTTTGAAAAATAAGACTTATTAGAAAATGTGCCTTATTAGTTCTTTTAATTTGTTTCAGTGCAACTGACTGAAAGAGATTAGTTTATGAGAGAGAACACTATTTTTTTAGTTTTAATTTAGCTGATGATACCAGACTTTTTGAGTTATTTTATATTATGTCAAGTTATAAAAGTTTATTTTATATTTTGTTTTCTAATCAACCAGATCTCCTTAGAAAGTTTGTCCAAAATATTGTATGTGAAATACCACTGTGTTACTATGATTACCACTGCGTTACTTACCTGTCCCCAATTTTTTTACAGTATTTACAGTAATATACAAGCTTCTGATTAGTTAAAAATGTCTTAAATTAATACGTAACTATTGTTCATCATAAATTAAAGCCTCTGTGTCCAGTTTCTATTAAATTTTGTATTTATTTTGTTTTTCTTAGAAAAGTTAAAGTTTTTAATTAGGACTTTGGTAACGCAGTAATATAAACAATTGAAAAAAATTTATGGAACTAATTATTTTTGTGATTTTAACTTTATGAGAGATCAGTATTAGTTCAAAGGTTTAAAACTGCCATATTAGTGGGACTAATTGTAGAAATTTATTAATAAATATTAAATATGTAGTAAAGTAACGCTGCTGTTTAACTTTTCGACCGCTTAGTGTATAAATTGCCGTAAATATAGTTAAATCATCAAAATCATCGCTGCAGATGTATCGTTATTATAAATCAAACTATTACGAATCTAAATCAACATTCAAAAATAAGAAAATATTAATTTCAATTTATTATTATTTTATAAAATCTTCTGCTCTAATTAGGCATAGAAAAGAATTTTGGCCCATTAGCCGGAACAGACAGATAGACAGACAAAAATTTTAAAAATTGTATTTTAATTATAAGTACCGTATTTGCTTACATATGCATTTAGTAAAAATCTGTAATTTTGGCATTACAAACAGATACTTCAATTTTATTTATTTGTATAGTTTAGGAAGACGCTGCTGCCCATTCCATGATTTGTTTCCCTCTGTCCTTCTTACGGCACCCACGGGATGATATGGGGTATTGGTTATTCGTACACCGCAACCCCACGACCCAACGGTCTAAAAGTGATGATGATAAATTAAACATTCAACATGGGTGTAAAGAGAATATGCCAGCCATTTCTCCAAATGTTAATTTCGTCTCCACGTGTTTTTGTTTCGTATGGTGGAGTGTAAAGAGCCGGAGATCATTTCTACTGGAAACGTGGCAATCCATCTTATATGAAATGCCTCATTTTCAGTAAAAAGTGTATCCGGTTCTCTATTCTCACCATACAAAAGAAAGCATTTAGTTGCTATTTTGCGTGTGTATTCTCTGAGAGTGTGGTCCTTTCCCGGTTCGAGACCGATACATTCGTACTACAATTATAATATAAAAATAATTTTTATTGCATCCTTAAAATTATGTACACATGGTACAAATTATTATGAAACTATTGACATCTAAACTGGACAGAGCCTGTATCTTAGATGTCAGATAATACAGCTGCAACGCACATTCCCTTTAAGCTCGTATATTATGTTATCAGCATATTTATCAAACTCTTATATGTTCTACACCTGGATGCACCAATGGATCGGCTCGCCCGCGATCCTTCGCATTAAACATTAAACACTCGTACATAATACCAGTTTAAATTTCGAAATGATGACGGCTCTCTTATGCAGTGACTTAGCATTGAATTATGGCGCTAAAAGCCGCGGCTTCTAATCCCGCTCGGTACAAATTTTTGTGTGGCAACTATTTTCCGTGCAGAATACAGACCAAGCACTAGCTTCAACATCACAACATCAAACGAACGAGGCTGCAAATGCGTTGTTACTATGCCTCACAAGTCACAACCTGTAGTTAAATCTACTGGCATTCTCTACCCTTCAAATGCAGTGGCGGATTACCCTTGAGGCTAAATAAGCACGTGCCTAGGGGCGCGAGATTCAAAGGTAGCGCGTGCTAAAGTTCTTAAACGAAAAGTCTTGTAAAGCAAAGGAGTGGAATAATTTGCCGGCGTTTATCTTTCCTTTCGAATACAATTTGGGCGTCTTCAAGGCAAGAGTGAATAGGCTATGGTTACGCTAAGACAGTGCGATTTACCAACTAAGGCTGCATCACCACTTACCGCCAGGTGGGATAGTGGTCAAGCACTGGCTTATAATAAGTTAAAAAAAATTACATAAAGTAGTGACCGAGATAAAAGGAAACACAACACCATCCGTCTCATTCTCTCGCAGGCTAAATCCTATAGACGTGTATGTTTGTTTCTTTTACTCGTAGTGTCGCTTCTTCGTTTCATCGAGTTTCAAATCACAACGATTCGAAAGAAATTTTCACTTCAAAAAATCCAGACGGAAATAATTTCTGCCATTTAGAAACTTTCACCGCCATCTTGGTCGTCGGGCGTCTGCATTTTGGTCTTAATCCCAAATCCTCTTGCCATCAAGTGACTGTTTGCTCATTTTCCACCTAATAAAAAATATCTATTGGTACAAATATTGTAGAAACAGTGGGTATGCCAGGTTTATCGCGGAACTGATGTCCCTAGGAGTAGAAAAATCTAGGTCAAACTGGACTAGTAACGACTGGCTAAAAACAAAGTAGTTCGAAATTTGTTGAATCGATGTCTATCACACTTCTACGCAATGGATTGGTAAAGGCTAGTGACATTTGTCCAATTCATGAGGGAGACATATGTTCAGCAGTGCACTGTAATGGATTTGTAGACTGTAATGGATGTAATAGAACCATGGTGTCTAATTTTCGGTTTTAATCAGTTGATTACTAACACGATTAAATTGAGTCAATTTTATAGCCATTAATAAACGTGTGTTTTCGGTTGCCAGTTGCCATGCATGTCGCCGCCATTTTTGTAAATCGCGATACGGACGTTTCGCGTCGTAGCTCGGCGGCGCACTATCCACCATCGCTTTAACGTGTGAGTACTGCAAAAAAACATATTGTTCATGAAAGGGCATCTTTGTTCTATTTATTTTTATTACGTTGCAGTTTATTATGGCTACAGTTTTGAATGTCGCTCGCATAAAATAGCAGCGTACTATACTAAGTAGCATGATGACGCTGCTATGTTTCGTATGGCAGTAGAGAACCGGAGATCCCGTTTACCAGTAGCGTGGCATTCTATCTTAGCTCTGAGGAGTGACTGACAATGCATGTGCATGCAAGAGGTACCATTGTGCGAAAGGTATTATAGTCCCGGAGTCAAAAAATGGTTCTGTGCAAACCAACCCCACCAAAATTGTACAGCGCTCAAAGCTCGTCCCGACTTTTATACATTTATTTGTACTAACGCTAATGGCCCTATATCTTGCACAGTTGATGACTTCTGAACAAATAAAATTCAAAATTCGATCACAGCGGCCATCACAACGGAGTCATGTATATTTTTGCATTTTATATAGATAGATAAACTTCAATTCACGTTGATAAATTATGCGCATAAATAATGACAACGGTTTCTTAGAAAATCAGTGTTAAATTGTTGAAAACAGCGTTCACAGTTAGCAAAATAAAGAGCTAGTTTTCTCGTCCGTTTGCAGTCGACTACAGGAGTTACGGAGAATTGACTGTAACGTAGTGCGCAATGTATTAAGGCAGAAGAGCCCGTCTAGTAACATACATACACACACAAGAAGTATTTGCAGTATACAGCCAATATAATAAAATATAATAACAATAAAATAATAAAAAATAATAAAATATAAATAAAAGTCAAATACAATGAGTATTATATTACCCTACCTTGTTAATCGACTTCCTCTTCCTTGACTTAGGAATGTTGGTAAGTTCTGGTGGCGGTGAGGTATATTTTCCGTTAACAGAGTCTTTGGATTTTACTTTCTTCAAAATGGAGCCAATGAGGGTCATTTTGCACAATTATATCTATACTAATTTATAAGAAAATAAAGTTACAGGATAATTTGGTTATTGTCTAATTTGTAACGGAAAATATTCACATTTAATCTATGTGGCTGATTTCATATTTTAATAATATGGAATAAAGACAGAAATATCAAATATAGAATAAAAAATAATTTAGTGAAAAGACAAAAAAGATTAATTAATTATTAAACTTAAAAAAAAAGTAAAACCAAATGATCACTTATCAGCTTCTGAAGTCGGTGCCAAGATAAGTATGTAGATATAGATATAGTGATCGAAGAATTCAAGACCCGAATTATGTGGATCCGTTCTTTTTTTAAATCGGTTTTAATTTTTTTTAAGTTAACTCTTTTGAGCGGACTAAGGTAAACAACAGTATGTTGTCTAAATAGACTAAAGACATTTACTTACGTATGTTGTCTAAAAAGACAAAGACAATTACATTAAAGACTTACTCTTGGGGCGAATTTATTTCTTAAAGTTTATATTGAATACTTGAAGTAGATATAACGCGGATAATACAGAGTTATTTTTCAAAGAGTAGCTAAATTTTAAACAACTTCAAATATATAAATAATGATATATCGTAATTGCAGCATTTGAAAATACAAGTAAATAAGGCTTCTACCAGCTTTTACTTTTATTTGAAATTATCCCAAATTGAATGTGAGTTATGGGCAACAACGTTTTTGCCTACCTACCGATCGATCCTTGCGAATGCGTGCGTCCGCAGTAAAATCAGTTAAAATAATTTTTTAAACTTTTAAACCACGCATTTTGAATTTAAAAGACAAAATGGACAGAAATATTGAGATTTTTTTAAATTAATTTTCGTCACCATTTGCTAATATTACTTATTCTGAACCTTCTCTGCAAATTTGGCGGGTTATTGCAAAATAATCCTGTATATCGGTGTCTCAATGTTCCACTAGATTCCGACGACCGAAATGTCGCCGACCACACAATCACTACACAATCACCTAGTGCCACAAACACTGTTAGTACAACTACGGATGGGACGCAGCGAATCCGCAGATGGGCGCGAAAATTACCAATGCAACCCTCTAAGTTCATATATGATTTGCCTCCTAGTGGCTATTTTCAATGTTTTAATGTCCACCTGCACCTTTCCAGAAGTGTGGGAAAAAGCAGAAGTCATCGGTATTCCCAAACCGAACAAACCCAGAGATATATCCCTATATATCTAGCTATATCCCATCAGTCTCCTCAGTGCTACGGGGAAAATCTATGTGTGCATCATCCTCAGCCGTCTGAAAGATGCAGTGCTAAGTAAAAATCTAATTCCAAACGAGCAGTTTGGCTTTCGAGCCAAACACTCAAGTGTACAGCAGGTGCACCGCATCACGGAGCACATTTTAGATCAGTCCGCAAAGGCGAACAAGCGCCTGTTTACACAGGAGCACTGTTCTTCGATGTGGCCAAGGCCTTCGACAAAGTCTGGCACAACGGATTAGTCTTCAAACTAATCCATACAGGTGTGCCGTTAAGACTTGTCAAAATCGTTCACGATGTTCTTGCAAATTGATCCTTTCGTTTTCGCGTGGAGGGTACATTCTCCTCTTCCAGACCCATCAGAGCAGGAGTTCCCCAGGGCTCTGTGCTCTCCCCGACCCTTTACTCACTCTACGTAAGTGATATCCCCTTGATACCAGGTACTCATCTCGCACTATACGCGGACGATACAACCATCTATTCCTCAGATGTCCACCCTTTTATAATCTGAAGAAAATGGAGAATCGAACTGAACCCCGATAAGAGCAAATCCATATTTTTTAACAGAAGGTTTGCTTGTAACAGATTAATGGCACAGATTACAAAATATAAAAAAGGTGCGATCTCCCGCTACGACAGCCCAATCCCATGGGTCCGAGAGGTGAAATACCTGGGGGTAACTTTAGATTGTGCAATGAGCTTCTCTCAGCACATTAAAACAGTTAGCAATAAGGCGAAATCGTGGTGTATCGTCTTTTCGCCTTAACCAATAAAAGCAGTAAGCTGTCCCTAAAACACAAACTGCATCTCTACAAAACCTGCCTACGTCCTATTATGACATACGCGGGTGTGTCCTTTGCCCATGTTCCCAAAAGGAGTCTACTACAACTTCAAGTTGTTCAAAATAAATTGCTGCGACAGATCACAGGAGCTCCCTATTATGTGAAGAACGCGGATCTTCACCGCGACCTTGACATGCCCTCTATCCATTCTTATCTTAAGGAATATATATAGGTATAATAATTTTCTTTTTATGAGACGTGCTCGTGCTGCCCAGAGAGGGATACTGCCCCCCACAGGAGACGTCCCAAGAACGTTCTTCTTGATCCCGACCACGAGATCACTTCCATGAATAGGTCGATCCCGTCCCCTCCCTCCACAGGAGGGGAACCCGTTCAGTTAACATTAACATACACACACTCAGATACTACTCTAATACAGAACACTAGGGCACACCGCGTTCGCCGGCGAACGAGTGGTCACAGACACACCCCGTACACGAGTTTCAACACCCGTGATACGGGACGTTTCTAATCTTGCGACCGGCAGATCGGCAGGGCTAACAGCGTACAATTTCAGAAAAAAAAACCAACCAAGTGCGAGTCGGACTCGCGCACCGAGGGTTTCGAACAAATCCGTAGGTTTTATTATATGATGTAACTAAAAATGTATGCTTTTCGCAATTTTTCCTTTATATCTGTGCTATAATACGTTGCTTCGTAGCAAATTTTAAGATTCTGAGTTCACGAGAAGTGCCCTGTAGGTTTTGATTCCCTAGCGAATCTCGCAAATTTGCGGCATAAACGGCTGTATCGTTTGATTGCGTTGGCGTAGAAGTTTGATTTTCACAGCTCCAAGGGACAGTAGACTTGAGTATTTGATATGAATTTCAGCTGAACACGTTCCTGAAAAAAAGGGTCTTGACAGACAGACAGACAGACAGACGGACAACAAAGTGATCCTATAAGAGTTCCGTTTTTTCCTTTTGAGGTACGGAACCCTAAAAATAAGTTCATATAAGGAAATAGCCATTGTCGAATTGCCGTCCCATCGAACTATGAGAGTGAGGGAATAAAGAACACCTAATAGTCTAGTTAGTGAAATAATAAGTCCTAAAACTAAATGTGTTTGCTCGTACACTTGTACACTAAAAAAAAATTAACCAATAATTAATAATAATAAATTAATAATTCAAAAATAATTAACAATTTTAATATTTGGCTGATGTGGACCTCATAACAAACTTTGTACTAGATATGTATAAATAAAATAGATGTTGGGAGATGTTAGTATATGTATAAGAAATTATACTTCAGATTATATGTATAAACATAAGCATGTAAGACGAGAACTACTGCCGACAAACTGTAATGCAGTTTATTGTATAATTGGAAGAAAAAAAAAAAACTATAATCGTGTCCTCCTCCTGCAGATGGTTAGTCTCCGTTGAAATTCGGTCTGGAGAACACTATTACATCTATACTTAAGATAGCGAGATCGTTGTCACCTACGATGACTAAGTTGGAATGTTACAAAAGGCTCACTCCCCATATTCTTTTCACTTTAGATTCGAAACACAGCAGCATTATGCTGCAATTTCACATTGGAATTCTGTGCCAGTCTATGCCACAATTAAGTAATTGCTATTAAAAAATAAAAAGTAAACGATCTGTATAAATTTTTTATTTCTACAATGTTACACAATTACAACTAAATATCACAACACAAAAGTTAAAGCGTAAAACAAAAGTGAGCTCAAATTCATACATATACAGATAATAAATTATAGTTACTATTAAAACAGATAAAAATTACAATTTTTATTTTCAAAATAATTCATGCATCCAAGTTAATACTGAAATTGAAAAAATATCTTACATAATAAATAGATCACTGGAATGTGACTAGTATTCGTTTTTGAAATATATGTGTATAAATTGATGAAGTAATTTAACCTGTACTAGAATGTTGACTTTTTAAAAGCAAGGTTAAAATAATTAAAAGTACATTAAACATTTTCTTTTATTATAGGTGATATTCATTATAAAAAAAAAAAAAATTAAATAATACCCATTAAAGGCCTCAACCGAACCATTAAACAATCGAAACAAATAATCGATGATTATTTGACTACGGTTCCGTTTACGATTAATACTATTGACGCACACAAAAACTATAATGTTTGGAGAACAATATTTTTACTTCAAGTACCTACTGAATTTATCGTAGTTCTAAATATGTATGACTCAAACAATTCCGCCTCATTTTGGGGCATAATTTCTGACAGTATATTAGGCACTATATATAAAATAATAAACAATAAGATAAAAATATTGCATGTCTCAAAAAATGTAAAAACTATTTTTTTTAAATATGCATAGGTCGCAGCACATTACATTAATAATATGTGGATTAGAAAAGGCCAATTGGATACTAATATACACAAAACATCGTACAATACACGAAATAAGAGCAAATGAGATGTTTCAACGTATGAAACCTCGGCCTGTCCTTGTACACTTAATCAAAAAATACATTATTTTTAATAGACAACAGCAACAAGTTAGCAAAAGTTAAGTTAACAAAAAAACATGGCGGCAATATTATGTCATTTGTTCAGTAACATTTGAAATAGGACAATCTATGGTTCGTCTTTTTTTAATCGTTGAGAGGCCACATTGAAAGTTGATTAAAATAGTTGATTTCAATATAAGAAATCATTTTGAACCACTAAGTATATATTCATAGTAATTTATTTAATTTTTCTCAGTTTTTTGTTGTAGTATACATGGACCTGGCCCGTTTTGAAACATCTTTTTTATATAGGACGTGCAATAAGCGCTATTATTTTGTGAATGCAACGTGGCAAGTAGCAAGCTACTGTTTTTGGCGTATTGCCGTTGTATGGGGACGTGGCACTGCAGACTGCGGTCTCGCCAGTCTAGTACTTGGACGAGTACTCACAGAGGAGT